AATTCTATGGGACTACGCGCCTGTCTTACACCTCTACCCATTACCAACCGCCATGATCCTAGCGGACTCCAGCGCAGATCCCTTTGCGGTCACCTATGAAGGATGCCATGTTATGAATCCGGGTAGACTTATACCAGAAGGGAGCAGGAGCCTAGTGAGATGGATTGAGTATGATGTGGCGAAGCGGAAGGGGAGCGTGAAAGAGGAGCGGTTCTGAGAGGTCCTTTGCGTGCTATGTAGTTGTTTCTTACTTTTTTAGTGAGTCTCTGTCGGATCTGTTCTGGAATTGGGTGCATTTATTAGGTTCTTATATTCAGCATGCGCAAGCGTTTACGAAGCTTTTGCATAGAATAACTACATAGATAATCTCATGTCTTCTTTTTGCTGCCTTGTACAGTACATGTACACCCTTGCATCTACCCGGTAATGTCCATTGTTATTTGTTTTGTTGGAGGTTTACAGGGATAGTTTAAGTTTTCTATTTTGAAACACCGCCATAGAAATATATATAAACGTATGTCACCCAGTTGGTCATATGCGTTGTACCATATTGCATGAGGATGCAACGATTCAAAAAAAGTCCGCAATATGCCATTATCCATTATTGCTCTTTCAGCCTAGGAAGGGAGTGCAGTGAGAGCAATATTCTATCTGAGCATAGTGCATAGGCAGTTAGCTTAGTTACAAGGACTCCCTGGAGACCCAAAAAATGGAGCTTGAAAAATAGATAAAATGAAAATAAATTAGGTTAGATATCACTTAAAAAAGATCTTGGAGACATGATTTCTAATTCCTGGCGGTATAGCTCCATAGATTTCTCCCTGAAAATCCACGCAATTCGTTTCCATTGGCTAGTCGATCATGATAACATCCACGTCCCTGCTACCGCCACTGCCACTGCCACTGCCACTGCCGTTGCCGTTGCCGTTTCCATTATTACCATTGGCCATAGCTCCGGTTGCATGATTACTCTTATTACTCTGCGGAATCTTCGTATTCTGCTTCACTGCCTTCGTATCGCTCTGTGTCTGTGTTCCCATGGCCATTCCGTTACTGGCTGGTTTTGGGGTGTTGGTCCCTCCCAAACCTCCCAAACCTCCCGGTCTTCCCTGCATATCAACGCCCATACCTGCCTGGCCGGGAATTAGCCTTGATTTACTATCCGCGGCTCCTCTACCAGAGAGTTGAGGCTGAGGTGCTTTCCGGACCTCGGGTCCCAAGCCGCTGCCGCCACTGCTACCACTTCTTCCATCAGGGGCAGGGCCAGGACCGCCACCTGAAGCCCCATTCCTACTTCCCAGAGTATTCGAGCCCGAGGCACCCCCAGCTTCTGAAGAGATATACTCTGCCATGACCCTATGCAGCGTGGAGAGGAGATTTCCAATCTTCTCATATTCAGCGATGGCGCCATTACCCAAACCCTGCCACCCATCTCCACGAGCACCATATATGTGCTCCTTCAATTTATTTTCCAGGGGCTGTCGACCGGCCTTTTCGGGCGCGATGGTCATTTCCCTTAGGATCCACACGACTCGATCTCTTCGAAGGCCCGCATGGACGCAGAAGCGGTAGCGGATGGAAGCGTAGCGAATGTAGAAAATCTTTGAGCTTCGTGCGGTGATTTGAAGTCCTGAGTTTGCGGGGTGACCGACATGTGATTCAGTAGTCATGCGATCCAGAGCTTTGAGTACCGGTAACGTGACAACGAGTAACTGTAGGACGGCTTCCAACCCGGTTCCGGATCCGGCCGCGGGTCGCAGTCCGTTAAGTGTAGCGGTCAATGATTCTTTGATGCGGCGGTGAGGGTTCTGTGGGTGGAAATCAATACTCATGCGCAAGAGCATGAGGGGGGTTTGTTTCGATAGTAGTGTGATGGAATTGATGTCGGAGGCTAAGGTTTGTTCATGATAGTTAAAATTGAAACTGGCCCGTGCATCTTCATCTGCAGCATATGCGAACTTTATTTTGGAAAGATTAACGGATAGCGGTTTCAGGGACTTTTGTTTTAAGGTTTCGAGGGTAGAAATTACACGCTCCAGTTGTTGAAGGCGAGCAAGGAGTTGGATAATCATTGGTTGGCCGACGGGGGTAAGAAAGCGCATGGCGAAACCACAACCGTTAGGCTGGAAGGTTACGGTGGGGTCTAAATGCGAGGCTGGGAGAGCTAGGTCTTTTATTTCACTTGAAAGAGTCCCGTGCGCTAGCAGTATGGCGTATTGTGTGGATAGATCGATACCCTGGAATGAGAGACGAACTGTGTCTTTGATCGCGGGATTCTTATTGGTGATAATGGGGGGAGATATTTGCAGCCCAGAGGGAAGGGAGCGGCTCCGGAAACGTATAAAAACGCTTGGTACCTGGAGATGAGGACCAAGAGAGAGGTTCCGTATAGGGGGGAAGTGGTGAATTCCATGAAGTTCTGAAAGATAGCGAGAATTGGCATGAATAGCAAGCATCCCTGAGAGGGCATGATCTAGTTTGCCGAAGGAGCCATAGTTTAACCGCTCAGGCAAGCCGCCAAATCTACCAGTAACCATATGAGCGGATTGCGGAGAGACGGGGCCTTCATCACTGGATGGCGCACGCAATTCGACCACCCACCAATTATCTCCATCCATGCTACAGGTATACGCGACACCCCAATTGCATTCCCAGGATTTGCGGAAGAACAGGACTGACCGAAGAATATTCGGGGGGAAAATGCGACGAAGATCTTCGTTTTTGATATCACGCGAGTTCACTATCTCCCAACCAAGAGCATCTGCAAGTGACTCAACCTCCTCTATAACAGCAGCCGACCGAAGGCGAGAGATACGGAGGAGTATATCGTCGACTATTGGCCTCTCGAAGCTTCGATCAATATCATGGCGGTTCAGTAGCAGAGGGGTGGGGCGGAAGATTATGGCGCCAGAAACCGGTTCAATCATCACTCTAAGATTTCTTCCCTTTGTAAGTTGAACATCGAAGAGGCAGTCGCCTGGTTCACTAATAGACATTTGTAGGCTAGCCGAAAGTGCTCCACTGGCATATAGCCGTCCTTGCAATAGTCTTGTGTATGTCGATTCAAGCAAGAAGGATGTATGTAAGGCAATAACGCTGCGCAGGACAGCTTCTATGGAAAGAAGCTCCATGTCGAATTTGATATATTTAGACTCCACTTCCTTGTTATCCCTCATCCACCTTAAGCCAAGAAATGGGGTTTCGGTAATCGATCCATCCTGTGTTTGATCCTTGCGACGGCCGCTTTTTATACCAATTTCAACCCAGCTCTTTGGTCCAGGCCTATTGGCCCAGTACTGCACGACAAGCGTGCGGTGCAATACTTCCACCCGTAGAGTGTCAAGCCAGTGGCCTCGAGCCAGCTCGATGGCCTGATGAAACAGTATGGTAATCTTGTTCGACAAGACTAAATTATGCAACAAGTTATAGCAGCCAGGGAGGCCAGAGTGCATGAGCATGGCGTTTACTCTATTATCCAGCTCGTCTAAAAGCCTTCCTGTTGGTTTAGGCGGTGAAGGAGAAAATAAAAATCGAATATCGACGAAGAAAAATTGCGAGGAATGATTCTCTTGCGCAATAGAAAGGTCGACCTCAAATTCCATCGGAACCTTAAAAGTGACCCTTCCATCATTGATCAAATACTTTGTGAATGCGCTGGGTATCTGGTCGTGTAGTACTAGCCTTGTCCGAATCGTCTTGTTGATTTTTTTCAATGTTTTAAGCATATTTTTCTGCGTTAAAGGTTTTGGAGGAACAAACGAGCTCTGAAGACCAAGAAAATTAGATTCATTGATCGAGGTCCAAAAAAAAAGAAAAAAAAGAGAGAAAGAGAGAAGAAGGAAAGAAAAGAAAAGAAGGAAGAAAATAGAGCAGGGAAACAAGGACACAATTACCTCTTGCATAGCTGCCACTCTCCCAGTCGATAAAACCTCCAAGGCCATCGCAAGATCAGGGTTGGCTGTCTGCGCCCTGATCAAATCTCTCTTCATTTCGCCAATGGACAATATAGCGCCATTGTAGCAATCATACCGCATTCGAATGAAAGCCTGAATGTCTATGAGCCTGCTAACATCTGCTGCTCGTCGACTCCACTGGGAAAGGACGAGGATCTTAATAAAATCAGCCCGCTTCGCCTGGGCAAATTCCAGAATGCGCAGTTTCCTTTGCGCATTTTCCGTCGCAGATTGGCTAGGTGTATATTTGCCATTGGTCGTGGATATAGGGGGAGCGGCAACGTGAGTAGCAGTTGATTGCGGGTCCGCTAGCTCCGTTATTAGATCTGTCAAGTCATTCCAGCATTGTTGAGCAGCCCTGTTGATGAGATGGCCCAAGGAGAAAAATCCCTGGCTGATATGCACCAGTTCTGGCGGCAAAGAGTCGTCAAATGACGGGTTTGAGAGCCGGGTCGCATCTTCCGTATGAGAAGGTCCATTTGAATAGTCTCCGTTATTGTGCGGTGCGAGGGATGTGGTGGTTGAGAGTGTGCCGTCAACAAGTTGCTGGTGGTCTGCTTCCCGCCTCGGTCCATTCGCGCTGGTACCATCCATGATGATTCCCGGCATCTCTGGCCGGGCGACGACAAATCGGCGCGCCCCAGCGGCGGCCCGTCGTCTTCAAGGCCCGTATGTATGTATGCGCAAAGAGTAACACACTGGCTTGGGGAATAATAATGCGTGACGAAAGGGGAAATATCCGGAGAGGACCCTGGGAGGGCCTGGTCTAACGGGGGATCTTAGGTTCAGAATAAGTCCTAGCCAAAAGGCGGACTATGCGATCGAGGAGATACGGGAAAAAAGACACGTACAAGAGTTGGGGGCCGTCGAGCGGCGATGGAGAGCTGGTGGTTGGAGCAAAAGATCGCGAGCGAAGGATTGACGGTACAGCGATTCAAGGTTGTGATAGCTCCCCGGAGCCGCAGAACCCAACTTGGTAACTATTACTTAAGCAAGCACATGACCAAAACGCCTGAAGCTTGGGCCGAGCCATGCCAAGAAATTAGCGTGTCCAAGCGCTGCCAATCCCGTATTCGGACTGGAAAGAACAAACTGGCCTCATCTCGAGGGTAGGCTATATAGACACGGCAGCCAGCTCGAACGACGACCTCTCAAGCTTCATCCTCGGACTCTCTTCATCACCCGTCCGCTCCAGCCCACCAACACACCGAGTGTTTTGAGGGTTGCGTCCACGTCTGCCCTTTGTTACGGCCAGTGAATTGGCTAAGCTGTTGTAATTTAATCAGACCGAAGTCTCCTTCTCGTCCGCTGAATACCCCTTTGTTTTCCTGCTCGCTCTCCTATCACCATGCGGCAGTTTAGAGATTTTGCCTTTGGCCTTGCGGCCCTAGGTCTTACAGCTCTAGCTTCCGCTTCTGAGGCGGAGTCGGATGTACATGCCCTCACGAAAGACAACTTCGACGATTTCATTAACAGCAACGACCTAGTTTTGGCGGAGTTCTATGCACCATGGTGCGGTCATTGCAAAGCTCTTGCCCCTGAATATGAAACTGCTGCTACCGAGCTCAAAGCGAAGAATATTCCTCTCGCCAAGATTGACTGCTCAGTGGAGAGTGAACTGTGCCAGGAGCATGAAGTGGAAGGTTACCCCACACTCAAGGTCTTCCGTGGGCGTGAACAAGTGAAGCAATATAGTGGCCCTCGCAAGAGTGGAGCGTATGTTGTGACTCGACCCTGCCAAACACCTGCGCGGCCTTCCAACTAACTCAGATATCTTCCCGTAGTATTACATCTTTCATGACCAAACAGTCTCTTCCAGCAGTCAGCAAAGTAACCGCGGATAATATCGAAGATGTGAAAACACTGGATAAAGTCGTCGTTATTGGATACTTTATGGAGGATGACAAAGAATCGAACGAGGCCTTCGCCGCCGTGGCTGAGGATCTACGCGACGATTTCCTCTTCGCCGTAACGAATGATGCCAAATTGGCCGCCGCTGAAGATGTTGAGCAACCCTCCGTTATTCTGTTCAAGGACTTCGATGAGCGCAAAGAGATCTTCAAAGGAGAACTTTTCCAAGAGGACATCAGCAACTTCGTAAAGCTTTCCAGCACCCCTCTCGTTGGCGAAATCGGTCCAGAAACTTATGCTGGCTACATGGCAGTAAGCTTTTTCAAGAATTCCTGCCCATTCAACCTGAGGTATAATTTAATGCGAGAACAAACACTGATGTTGACAATAATAGTCTGGCCTTCCACTTGCCTACATATTTGCCGAAACTCCTGAAGAGCGTGAAGAGTTCATAACCGTCCTGAAGCCCATCGCCAAAAAGCATAAGGGTTCCATCAACATTGGGACCATCGACACCGTAGCTTACGGAGCTCACGCTGGCAACCTGAACCTTGATCCCGATAAGTTCCCAGCCTTCGCAATCCAAGACACTGCCAACAACAAAAAGTACCCCTTGGATCAAACTCTGAAGATCACCGGGGATGTCATCGCCAAGTTCATTGAAGATGTCCTTGATGGTAAGGTGGAGCCTAGCATCAAGTCTGAGCCTATCCCTGAGAGCCAGGAAGGCCCTGTCACCGTTGTCGTCGCCCACACCTACCAGGAACTTGTCATTGACAATGACAAGGATGTTCTTCTCGAGTTCTACGCCCCATGGTGTGGACACTGCAAAGCGTGAGTTCTCTCTCGCCCCCTACCATCCTTTGATCGTATTTTGCTAGTATTATACTAACAACTTATTCCACGTAGTCTCGCACCCAAATATGATCAACTTGGCCAACTCTACGCTGAGAACCCAGAGTTCGCCTCAAAGGTCACCATCGCCAAGGTCGACGCCACCGCCAATGATGTACCAGACGAGATCCAGGGCTTCCCAACCATCAAGCTCTTCCCAGCTGGCTCCAAGGATTCTCCTGTCGACTACACTGGCCCCCGCACTGTCAAGGACCTGGCCGACTTTGTCCGGAACAAGGGCAAGCATGGCGTTGACGCGTATGATCCGGCGAAGGTACCTGCGGATGGCGGTGATGTCACCGAGAAGTCCGCTGCGGAAAGCCCAGCGTCGACAAAGGCTGCTGAGAAGGAAACTAAGGCTGACGACTCCGAAGAACCGGAGGAGACTGCTGAACCCACCCGGCATGAGGAGTTGTGATTACTGTCACAGCGCTTTGTGCAATATCAAATCAAATATGCCATATATTGAAAAGAATGGGATTCTTGGGTGCTTTCCTTGTTTTGTGCGATTAGTTTAATTGAATCGAATGGCTGTTTTTTGCTGCCATTTGTCTTTTAGAGCATCTGGAATTTTTATAATGTATTTTGTCTCTGCATGTGTGTTGTCCTTGCTGTTCTATTTTATTTTACATTATATAACCCTCGTGCATGCCGCATGTTGTTAGGCGGGGCCTGCATCTTGTGCCTGAGCTTGTACTATTTGACCAACAAAAATAAGATACTTATATCTTCCATCTCATTGAGACTTGTAAATCTATATACAGTCTTTACGCAGCATGTATGTGTATGTGTATGAGCTTGGTGTTGTAAATGCTGTAACCCATCTGATCTGAATGGGTTGGCCTCTTTTTCAACCAGGCTTCTTTCTCCCTTTTGCCTCGCTCCGTCTTTCTCACAGTTTGTTCCAATTTCTGAACGTCTCATACGTCTGCCACCATCTAACAAAACCTCTCGGAAACATATATCTATCTCAAAAGGAGTTTGAGATACTCTACGTTATGTCTCCAGGCACGGCAGAAATCTCACCCCGCAACTTGTTTTTCACCGCATATGTAGGCTAATTGGTTAAAAAATTATTTGGAATAACCCGAATCCCTTCCAAATATTTCCAAAGGAGATTTCAACGACAAAAAATAAACAGGTAAAGCGGGGAAATATTGGGAGGGAATAATGGACGACAGAAAGAAGGAGAGGGAAGGAAAAAATATGAGTAAATTCCAAGCCATTTGACAACGCCTTTGCTATCCGGATCCCATCCAAACGATAACGAAACAATCAACCAGTTCTTTAAAAGTTATTTAGTCCCAGAAGTTGACGGGTACCAATGTATTCCGCCTCCATGTTAAACAAGAGTAAATACGCGCCGCACACGCACATGCCGTACCTATATACAGTGACCTTCCTCAATCAGTTAGGAAGGTCATACTCCGCCTCTGCTAGCGCGGCTAATGCGTCAGCGTCCTCTTCTTCGTCTTCCGACAATAATGATGAGCTATGTGTACCGTTCCCACTCGCTTCTGTAGCTTTCGTTACGACTTTTTGCGTCTTGACGGTAGTAGATACGGCGGTAGAGTTGATTTCAACTGTAGTTTCTATTGCTGCTGATGTAGTTGTCGTAGTAGGTTTTGATGCTGGCGGTGATGATGGTTTCTCCTCAACGAGAGACCAGTCAATAACCCCGTCTTTGCCATAGCGTTCGAGGAGCCATTCATTGGTCTTCTTGAAGTGGCCGCATTGAAGCTATAAACAAGACAAATTCAGAGTCCCATTAGCTATGTTCTGAACAGGGAATTGTTCGTAGTAGAAACTTACAAATCCGCCATGAGCACTCAACGGACTGGGGTGCACAGACTGCAGCACACAATGTCTCTTCTCTTTGTCCCGAAGAATATGTGCTACCCGCTTCCCTGCTGGTTTCCCCCAGGCTAAGAACACAACGCCACGCGTCCGCGTCTTCGCCACGACATCGATGACCTTCTGCGTAAACCTCTCCCAACCCTGGTTTGCGTGACTATTGGCATTATGTGCGCGGACGGTTAGGCATGTGTTTAACATGAGGACACCGCGGTTCGCCCAGGGGACAAGGTGGCCTCCGTTGTTGGGCGGCTTGGTGAAGGAGGGGTAGTCGTTCTTCAGGGCTATGTAGATGTTTTTCAAGGAGGGGGGCGCGGGCATAGGAGGCCGGACGGAGAAGCAGAGGCCGTGCGCTTGGTTGTGGTTGTGATATGGGTCCTGGCCGAGGATGACAGCTCGGACTGTGTGGAGGGGAGTGTACCGGGACCTAATAGGGCAAGGGCACGAACGGGTTAGGCTCCGAAATTTCTTCAAGTGAAAAGGATTGTGATATTAGTTTTCTTTCTCTTTTGTATTTACCATGAATACACCTCTTCAAGGGGTGGGAATATCTTCGCTCCCCCTGCAATCTCCCGTTTCAAGAACCTTTTCAGATTCAGGAATTCGGTAGTGACCACCTCCTCTTTCAAATGTGCCAGCCAGCTCTCATCCAATGTGTCGATTTCCAGTTTGAGCAGCTCCTTTTGCTCAGCTGTTAGGCCAGCAACCCATTTCTCCTTGTTAAAATTTACTGTTGGGACAGGAGCGAAGGATAACTTCGTTGTCCCTAGTGCAGAGGAATTCTTGACTTTTGGAGCACCAAAGAACGACGTGATGCTCCCATTCGGTTTGGGTTTCTTTGAATCCGCACCAGCACCCGTTCCGGCGCTGTCTCCGAAGTGGTTGGCGTCCCGTTTACGAGAAGCAGTAGACATGGCAGCGAAACCAACAGGTGTTGTTGACCGCAAAAAATTAGAATGACAGGTATAACGAATGGAGCTCTTGAGGGTGGGAGTCAGGAAGCTTCGAAGCATGCAGATATGGACAACTATTTTCCCTTTTATGTCCTCTTCAGAAAAGGAGGCCGGCGCAAATCCCTTTTGTTCCGCTCAGGGCAAGGAGGCCCGGTGGCTGAAGGACTATTAGTTAGGCAAGGCGAAGGCGGTTGGACAAACGCGTGGGTGAAGTCGTGTCGGGAGCTTAGTAAGGCGCCACGGTCATGTGAGTTCGCGTTGCACTTTAGGGGCAGGAGAAATAGGGGATAGATGCAGAGCTGGATGATGCTGTACTCTGTACTCCGTACGGAGTATAGATGTAAATTATTACTGCAGACCATATTAGCGGGGAAAGAGTTGATGTCTAACAACAATTGATTCCTTTTTAATCCTGTAAAATCCGTTTTCGTTCCAAATATAACTACACTACTTTGAATCTCCGCAAAATATAGATGGCAACAGCAATTGAAATATTTTTAATAAGAGGCCAACCGCAAACAACCAGTACAAATGAGAGCGAGCCGGGCCACCTGGATATAACACCGAAAACTCATTACAAGACAATGAAAGGAAAAACGAGAGGGAAAATAGGGCAATCTCATTATTTGCATCTCTTTTCCACGATATTCGGCCCATGCTCATCAAACTCCTTCTTAGATATCCACATCTGGTGAAATGTCCCTAGACTTGCAACAATACTTCCCCCAATCCACGACCCAAATTTCCGCTCTGCCGTATTGCCAGGCGCAGTTATGCGCACCCGGGGACTTGGGAACATGTTCATAAGCTCAAAATTCAGTCGATCGTTAAATCCGTATAGCAGACTCGTCGCTCCGGTCACCACTACGTTCGCAAGCAAGTGCGGCCGGATATCGACATCGACTTGGTTCAGAGAGTTGCGGATTAGCTCCGGTATTGTTTGCGCAGCGGTCGGGGCGGGGAACTCTGATTCTGGATCGGGAATTGCAGCTTGGGCGTCAAATAGCGATTCTACCACGCGGTATCGCTCGGCGCCGAATACTTGATTATAGCCATCTGGAAATTCGAAGGGTCGGCCTGGGTTGCCCCTCGCAATCTCCTCATTGGAAACGCCATTGGGTCCCGTGCTGGATAGCGAATGCGGACCTGGCCAGACTTGCACCACGCACTCTTTGAACTCAGATATGGTTCGGTCCTCCAGGAGCCGACGGAAGGAGGGGTCAGGAGCACGGTCGGCGGGAATAGTTTTATAAGTTGCTTGCGCCGGCTGGCCAGCGTCAACAGCCGTCTTGGAAGACACGAGGTAGTGTGGCGTGATAGTTATAGGTTGTGGTGTGTTCGTTTTGAAAAGTGCACGGATTTGCGAATTGATGAACTCGCCGCCTAGAGGGGAGTGCTGGACGCCTCGTTTTAGAACTAGCCCGTCGTGGACAGGGGTTATGGAGACGCCTGATGCGCCAACATCCACGACCAAAGCTGATGCTTTGCCTGCGGCGAATCTAGAGGACATACAGTTTAGTGTCGCTCACCTTGGGTAGGGGAGGGGTAGAGGGAGAGGGGGGAGAACGCACGCAGCCAATGGTCCATTCCGAGCTAGATAGAATGCCGGACTCCCCCATTTCTCCATTGCTATTTCAATAGTCTTTTCCCGCGCCTTGATAGGATTCCAACCGCACTCCGTCATAAGCAGCGGGCTATCGGTCAACGGTTTCTCTTCCGCCTCCACCACATCCATCTCCGCTGGCAGGTCGGCATTGGCAGTATCATTTAATCCGTTATATAGTGGGTTCCCGGACTTGGTTCCCGTTAATCGCGATGTGAATGAATATTCCCATACTTTCTCTGCCATGTCCCAATCCTCCACTATCCCCTCCTTCCCCATCGGATTGCGGATGGCGAGCCCCGGCCGTGGCGTAACGTAGATGCTGTCGCCATAGATGTATTTGTCCTGGGCATCGGTAGAATACTTGCCGTAACAGGTTGGGATGACAGATTTTGGCGTGTCTTCACCCGCGAAGCCTGCGCGTACTGTTGAATAGCCAGGGTCGAGGATAATCGCGGACACTTCGTCTGCGGGATTGGAGTTAGTATGTGGGATACGCGCGCTGTTGGGAGTCGCAGAGATGTCAAAAACATACCACCACCGTATTCAGCGGTTGCTGGAGGTGCTAGAGAGCTCATTTTTACCCTCTTCTTGTCTTCTTGTACGGTGTTTGAATTATGGGCGGCCTTTGAAAATCTCCAATGGAGGGCGGAAGTGGGCAAGAGTATAGTGCAGAGCTAGCACTCTCACCATAGAAAAGCCTTGAACGGCAGTCGCATGCAAATGGGCAATTGAAAAATGGTGTTGAATATGTGATGAGTAATTTGACGGGGTCGTTGCGTTGCTTTAATAGTTGCAAGAAGTGGTGAAGCGGTTGGGCAGCCGCGGGGAGCAGACGAGGTCTGTTCTCTTGATGATCGCCAACCGCCTAAACATCGAAGCTTGATCTCGCCTCTGTGAAACTTCAACAGCAACCAACTCCAACCCCAACACTACACACAAGCCCCATTTAATAATAGTCCCAACAACAATTCTTGCGGAAATTAACAGTTATGTCGACCATGGAGACTGAAGAGCCGCTATTTAGGCCAGTCAAGAGAAGAAAGTTCCTACGAAAACGCCCAGAAACTTCTCCAGATGAATCGCAGCCACCGCAACCCTCTCCAGACCCCGAAGCCGCTACTTGCAGATCCCCGGCAGGACAAGATGGAGAAGCCTCAGAAGCACATATGAACGAACCTGAAGAAATAGGCACTGGTATTACAGACATATTCCGCCTTCGAAAGGCGCTGAAGACCCGAAGGGGTGGCGTCGAGTTTACTGCTTCGCCAAAGCCAGCTATTGATCAGCATGGCGAGTCTCAACTAGAGGTCGACTCTACGGCTCAGGATCCTGAAGATATGGTGATACGAGGCATTTCAGATCGCTTTGTTGCTCATACAGGACAGAGAGTGGATGTGGATAAACATATGTACGTTTTCCCCGATATCTCATATTTCTTTCCTCTTCTTCATATGTATGTTTCATATATGTGAAGGACACTATTCTCGCTTTGGATGAACAGAGTGAACGACTAACGTGATAAGGATGGCGTACATAGAGTCAGAGATGACTAAACGTCATCAACAACACAAGAACAATAATGCTACAGATAATAATGACCAACAAGTGTCAGAGGCCACTGTACAGAGCCTTAACTCGGACCTCGTGCTCCCCCAGCGCCAGCCAGCATCGCTAGGCAAGCTGCATGAAATCGACCTGGGACCGGACGCAAAGCTCCGTAACATCGAGCGGACTGAAGCAGCTACTAGAAGGCTCGCCGGCGATCAGGTGCCGGATGAGAACGAGGATAAGGACGCCACTTCGAAGAAAGCACGGCCAGGAGCGAAGGATGGCAAAAACTGGCGTGGCCGGAAGAGACGCAACAGTGAGGATATTAGACGAGATAAACTTGTTGAGGAGGTTCTTCGCGAGAGTAAACGTGAGTTGTTTCTTCATCCTCCTCCATATCCATTACATGCCTACATCTATATTTTCTTTTTTTCTTTTTTGATTGAAAATTTGAAAAATTGAATAAACTAATATGTATCGATACTTCACAGTCGACGTCTACGATGAGCCTGAAGTTGTTAGCCAGCAGAATGACGACCAGGCAGCGGACGATCGCATCGCAGAGCAGTTTCGCCGTGACTTTTTGGACGCCATCCACTCCCGACGCCGCGGAGCTCGGACAAGGACTTCGAAGACTACCAAAACGGATGTTCCGCGCGGCCCCAAACTTGGAGGAAGCCGGAGTGCCCGCGCGGCGATGCGGGAGAAAGCTGCAGCTGCCGCTCAAAAGTGATGATAATGACGAGTATATACTATTATCGGGGGGAATACTAAGATGGGACTCCCGTATGGATATATGCCCATCCTTTTAAAGATTCTATTCTTCTTGCGTGCTGTTATTTGTAGTTTCTTTCTCATTACTTTTTTTGCGTTTTGGAAAGATGGATCGCGCGTCGTTCTCAACCGGATCAAATACCTGTATATGTATATTTATCATTATTGTTACGACGATTCTGTTTTTTATATATTTCATCCTTCCCGTTCATTCAAGGCCCAGACCTGACCTGGGACCATATCAATTTTCAATTGGCCAATGCAAGCAACCCATTCTTTTTCCACGCTGTCTTGCACGCTTTAAGCAAAACAAAGGCAGCGGCGTTAACCGGTGCGTATAGTGGACCGAATTAGTGGGGCCAGGTTATTTGAAGAGAAATTGCCACGGCGGCCGGTGGGTGTAGGTATCTTGCCGACCCGGCCGTCGAACATGTCCGCGGGCCTGGTATGTCCTATACATACATCCATCATGGTTGCAGACAGGCTTTGGAGATGTGTATTGTGTAGTTGGATAATCACTCTTCTATCCTCGTGTATTAAGTATTTAGCAATCCTATGTTGACGATGGGTTACTGTTGAAGCGCAATTCCCCTCTCAAAGTGTTTTACAGATAGGAGAAAAGGGGGGTGGAGTTCAAAATTTATTTCAGGGACGGGAAGTTGGGCCAGGGTAATATCATAATAATAATGGTGGTTATACAGCGTAAGAAATAATGCCTGAGAAACGTAAACAGTATATACACTGATGCATGAACTGGTGTTGAACCCAAGGTTGCCCATCCCTTGTTTGGATCCGTTGTTACTCCGTACAACACCTGCAACCTGCAACCTTCAGCAGAACTGTTCAACATCTCTATATATAGACACGGATGACGGAGAAGTAGCCTGTGGGGGACCAAACACGTATGCGCAATGGGGGGCGATAGCCAACTTTCCGTGAGTTGATCCATTATTCGTAAGAGTGGAGATGCTCAGCAGTGAACAGACAGAAGACAGACCACTTCGGGCGTAACTTACATACGCAGCACAAAATATTTTGCGTGCAGCAACAGCCAAACAACGCTGTGATCGATGTGATCGTTCAAGCAGTGACAAGCAGTGCACAAGCACCGATTCCAGAACCTCAGACAGGGGTCGATCTCGACAGCGGTTGGACCCTGAGCATTGTTCCTGATTTGCCAGCGATGAAACACCATGCTCCGTAGCCTCAATAGCACGCCAATAGGGAGCCACCCTAAATAATTGTTTTTGCCATTGGACGTGCATTCGATATTCCTGCGGACAGCATTATTATATTGATTGTATTCTCAGAAAGAATAGCCGGGAAGGGGATATCTTGCCTCTCATACACCCTAAGTTCGCTCATAGGGATCATGCATAGGTTTAACACAACAATGAAACCAGCTCTCTGAAGGCCAAAACAACGCACGCGGCCACATTGCTGCAATTCTAAACGCAGCGAACCCCAGTCTCATCATGTCTCAAGGACAAACGTCCAGCACAAAGCTGTGGATCCTGTGGCTGAAACTAGAAATAGGCTACCCAGCCGGGCGTTCCAATACAACACCTGCCACTGGTCCCGAGTCTGCTAAACTGGCTAGTGAGGTCTCCGAGGGCCGAGTCGTGAGACCAAAGCGGAAAACAAAAAAGAGAAGGAGAGAGAGCAGAATTGGGATTTCGTGGAGTGGATTCTGCAACGGCAGGGGAATGGAGCTCACTTATCCAACCTGATACATGAGCAGCTCGCTTCTGGGGCAAAAAATCAAGGAGAATCCATATTCAGACAACGGGCATCGCACTTCTCCCAGGCCCTGATTCTCTGTTTACACGGTTTGCAAATTTTCTGCTGCTCCGGATAGGACACCAACGAATAGAAGGCCGTTAGGTTAGGTCAGATAGGAGACGTATCTTCCCTGGAGCTGGCGAATTGATGTTTGCTCTTGTTCCATTTATGGAGACTGCCAGGCGCCTAGATGTTTCCTTCCTTGATATCGACCTGCACTAATATTATTCTTCTTCTGGCTTTGCTTCTCTGAACTCTCGATTTCTTCTCCATCGTTATCACAATCCCATCTTTTTCCTTAAGTTTTGTTTTTTTTGTTTTTTTGTTTTTTTTTATGCTATACAAACTGCCGACTTTATGTACACCTCCGTTCATTTTGTTGCTTTTTCAAAGGTAAGCCTTATATAATTTTGTCTACTCGATCAAGGTTCAGAAATCTACGCCAGACACTCCCGTCTGCACGGCCTTGGAGTGTATATTTTCTTGAAGAAGGTATTCGTACCTTCTTTGTCTTGTCTAACCTTTCATCAGTGACAATCGCCTGGGAGAAACTCGAACCATCCTGTTCCCGATCGATTCGGAAAATATGTCGACCCGACCTTGGTCAATAACAGCTCTTCTTTTGGCCTGGGGCCTGTTTTTAGATCACGTTCACGGAGTAGACATCCTCAAAAACAATGGCTTCACCACTTGCCTTGACAGTTCCGATATCAAGGTCGAAAAAATGAGCCTGGAGTTTGACCGCTCTACCAATACAATCACCTTCGACGTTGCAGGGAGTAGCACAAAGATCCAAAAGGTAACAGCAGAGTTGGTCGTTGAGGCCTATGGCCAAAAGATCACCAAAAGTTTCAATCCCTGTGATGCGGGAACGAAAGTCGATCAACTATGCCCTGGTACGTACTTAGATTACTTATTGGCCTTTTCTCATCTTGCTCATGTCTATTTACAGTTCCCGCGGGGCGTTTTGCGGCCAGAGGAAATCAAAAGGTACCCTCCGAATTCGTAGAGAAAATCCCCTCTATTGCATTCGCCATTCCCGACCTCCAGGCTCAGGCAACAATGTTACTGAAATCGAATGACGGGGGCGGCACTCTTGCCTGTATCAGCTCGACGGTAGACAATGGCAAATCATTAGAAGCACCTGCTATATCATACGCTGCTGCTGGAATCGCAGGGGCTGCTCTAGCATTGTCGGGCGCAGTAGCTTTGGCGTCCAGTGGAGGCCCCGGTACGGCTACATCGAGCCCGACCTTCGGTGAGGTCTTTGGGTGGTTTCATTCTATGGCAACCAACGGCATGCTTAGCGTCAATTACCCGCCGATATACCGCAGCTTCACCAAAAATTTTGCATTCAGCACCGGGCTGATTCCTTGGAAACAGATGCAGATGTCGATTGACGATTTCAGAAATAAGACTGGGGGCAATTTGACACATAACAATTTCCTTTTCCTTCAAAATGCTACCCTTATATATGACAACGGATCTGGTTCCTCGAGCAATGTAAAACGTTCATTAAGCTCCCTTTTCAGTTCATCCGGTCTTGCGGTTCGGGATATTTCAACGACGATCAACGAAACAACCACTGGAGGCGGCCCTGAAGAGGAGGGCGGAATAAATCATGTTGTCAAGGGAATCCAGGCATACGTCGAAATGCTCTCAGTTCCCGAATCTAACACGTTCATGACGGTGCTGTTGATATTTGCAATCATAGTTGCGGCCATTGCGGTTGGCATATTGCTGTTTAAAGTTATTCTCGAGGTCTGGGCAATGTTCTCATATTTTCCACGGAAATTAACGAACTTCCGGAAGGATTACTGGGGTATACTGGCGAGGACAATCACCAATCTGATTCTCGTATTATACGGCATCTTCACTCTCTATTGCGTTTTCCAATTCACCAGAGGCGATTCATGGGCCGCCAAAGCTCTTGCAGGCGTCACACTCGCTATTTTCACGGGAATCCTAGGATTTTTCACTTTCAAAATTTGGAGAGTGGCAAGAAAATATAAGGGGGAAGGTTCCGCGGCTGCACTATATGAAGACCAGGAAACATGGCGGAAATACAGTCTTTTCTATGACAACTACAAAAAGGGATATTGGTGGATTTTCGTTCCTACCATTATCTACATGCTCGCGAGAGGCTGCATCATTGCTGGAGGCGACGGTCACGGACTCGTTCAGACCGCCGGCCAACTTGTTGTCGAGGCAATCATGTTCATTCTCCTTCTCTGGTCGAGACCCTACGAAGCAAAGTCTGGGCAATGGATTAACATATCGATTCAAGTCGTCCGGGTGTTGTCAGTTGTATGCATTCTAGTCTTTGTCCAGGAGCTGGGCATGTCAACGACAACGCAAACTGTTACTGGTGTCGTTCTGATTGCAGTGCAATCGGCACTGACCGGCATCCTCGCCATTTTGATCGCTGTCAACGCCCTGATACTTTTGTTCAAGAAGAACCCGCATGCTGCGAGGAGGCGGAAAGACCCTGGTAAGTTGCTGTAACTATGGCACAAATATCTTCCGATGAAGCGGGCCATTGCTAACGAAACAAATTCAGAAACTATGGATCGCGACTTAGATACTCTCACGCCGCTGGATGCGCGCAACTCCCTTCTAGAAGACTCAAACATGCCTCCACGCTACTCAAATCGGAGAAGCTCAATGGGCTATTTCAACCACACCTCGCCCTACGATCCCTACATGAAGGCATCCTACAGCGAGAAATCACGCCACATGCCTACAAACAGCACCGATCATTTACTCTCAACCAATGCCGACAACATAAACCATGTGAATATGAGGGAGATGAGCCGGACCCCATCACCCGAACGGCAACCTACGTTGCCGGTGATTGGACGGGCGTACTAATTCAACATGTCTCTACACTAGACGTACCACAAATGCATCTTCAGTAGTGGACCACACATACTGCCACACATACACACATCGGCTTACTTCTTCTCCTTTTCCACCTTGTTTAATGTCTATACTTCACTGCATATTCTCCGGCTTTTAATTTCCTTCGTGTTTTCGGCACTGGTCATACTACCCATCAGCGTTTTCCTCATCCATCATCTCTTTCTCTCTGTCTCCCCCCCTCTCTCTTTTCCAATCATATAGAATATTTTAACACAACGTGCTACAATATAACCCGTTCTCTCCTTAACTATCAAGAATTCCAATCCATCTATTTTACTGTGAAATAAAAATATTTCTCTGTTGATTTTGCCTTGATATATTCGTCACAACCACATACGCCAACGAGGGCGTTGTCACTTTTTACTTTGTCGTTTCCGCAAAAAGGTCTCTTTTCTTTTCCGTTGAAAATAAACGAATAAAAATAATAAAGATAAAAATAAAAATACAGAAAGAAAGAAAGAAAGAAATTAGATTCTTCATAGTCTTTTCTCTAGCTTCCGCCAACGCCTCATATTTGATATATCTGTCGTGTGGCCTCAGGGGAGAAAAAAACCTGTCAAGCTGTTCTGCCACTGTACTTCACACATGCACCCAGCAATTTGATATGTATCAATAAGAACACAAAATACTTCTCGCTTCTACATATCCATAGTAAGTGAGCATATCTACCCTGGCGAAAGACTACAATTGGACTTGGGAAAATGGTTGCTTCGCTTTTTTTCTTTTTTTTTCCCTCTTTGTGCCCTTATTTTGTTTTAAATTGTTTATATTACAATACACCTCAAGAAGGAGAGAATTAAGACAGACTCAAATCACTTCGGAGAAGAATAAGCGAGGAAATTATTTCAAAAGCCAAATGACGATTAGGACGATAGAGTCGGATAATCAAATGAACAACACGTGATAAAAATTGGAACAAAATTTGTTATTTACGTGGAGCATTGGAAATGGGTTTTGTAGCGGTAGCGCGATCAAAACGAAAAGAAGAGGAACATGAACTCTGGGTTGACGACAACTTATGAAGGGGCGAAAAAGGTACAAAAAAGGAAGAAATGTTTTGACGCCGTCCGTAAAACAAGAAGCAAGGAAAGGTAGAGTAAACAGAGATAAGAAAGCAAAACGAGGTCGTGTCGAGATTATTAAGAGGACGGAAAAGCACGCGTTTTGAAGAGTTGTATTGATTTGGCCGTGTTTTCGAAGTATGAGGGCCACCAAGCGCACCTATAGAATGATCACCAAGTAGAGAGGAGAGCTCGTTTTGTGGATGAAAGGGAACTCTCGTTGAGTCTTAAAGGCGTAATCGACACGTTGATAGACGAATCCGGTGTAATTATTTTAACAATAAAAATAAACCCGACTCGTTCGTTTGGAAAAAAGTCACCCATATCTATCAGCGTATATCCCTTTGATTTTTTAAGCCAACTAATCCAGTTCTCAGTATCCTATTCGTTTCAAGTGCGAGCATAAGGATGGAATCCCCGATGAGCACCCCGGCCTCCGCCACGGTAGTTCGCCCCTGGTTTCCCCGCGTTTCGCGGCCCGGTAGGTGCATTCGCTGGCGGCGCGCTTTGTGGCTGTGGTGTTATGCTTTTGTTGCTACCAGGCGATGGCCGAGCACCACCATGCTGTGGTGGCATACCGTGGCTTGGTGACATTCCACGGCCCATACCTCCTCCACCTCCCCGGCCCATGCTACCGCCGCTCTGTGGACCAGTTGGGATATTTGGCTGCGGGACGTCATCGTACATTCCTTCCCAGGAAGTAGGACCACCTTGTTGGTACGGAGCAAATCCTCGAGATGACTCGATGGCTCTGCGTGCTTGTTGCTGTTCGTACTTTTGCTGCTCAAAAGCAATTTGCTCCTGAGCATTGTACCCAGGGCCGCCTCTTGGGCCGGAAAAGCTGCCACCCGGGCCGCTCATACCCATATTGGGACCGCCGCCGCCCGCCATTCCACCCGGTGGCGGTCCTCCTACACTCCCACCAACGCCTGCGCCTCCCATATTTCCGCCCATACCAGGACCTGGACCGGGTCCAGCGGCCATGGCATTGTTCATCTGTCCTCCCATTCCGCCTGCTCCAAATCCAGATCCACCCGGACCCGGGCCCTGGCCCTGGTTCTGAATCTGTTGCATATGCTGCATCTGCTGCATCATGGCTGGATTCATCATGCCTTGCATCACTTGGGCACCGGGGACTTGAGATCCAGGACTCATCGCTCCCTGAGGTGCTCCTCCGCTCATACCACCCATCGCGCTCATCTGTTGTAACATCGCCGGATTCATACCCGCCATCCCCATTGCGCCTCCAGCAGGTTGGCCCTGAGCGGCGGCAGCAGCCATTTGTTGCTGCATTAGGGCGAAATACTGTTGCATACGCTGCCAGTATTGTGCCATCATTTGCGGGCTCATGCCACTTGTCAAGCCTCCTTGACTCTGGGTGTTTTGTTGTTGCGAATTCTCCTGACCAGCAGAGCGATCATTGTCCCTACCATAACGATCCTGTTGATCTCTCATGCCGCGGCGCGAACCCCTGCCTCGGTCGTCATCGTCCCGCATATTCCCGCGCGGCTGCGCCTTCTTGACCTCGATCGGTTTCCCGAGGATTTCTAGCGGGCCAGATAGGGTCGCTTCAACAGCTGCCTCGCTGTCAAAGGTTACGAACCCGAACCCTCGAGGCCGGCCGCTATCCTTATCGATCATGAGAGTGGCATCCACGACGCGACCAAACTGCATAAAAAACTGTTTAAAGTCTTGCTCTGTTGCTTCTTGGCTAACTCCACCGACAAATATTTTACTTGTCCTCTCCTGTTCATCTCTAGGAATGGCGCGTTTCGGGTCGATCTATTTGTTTTGCTTTGTGAGCTCATATGTTCTCATGTAGATATCAACAGCTAGCCGGCTATCGCAGTGTACGACACATCTGGTTGAAGTGGGAGCAGGACAATAGCCAAGGGCAGTCCTTACAATTTTACCATCCAGATAATGTTCTTTCACCATCACAGTGTTCACAGTCTTGGGATCTTTGAAAGTGAGGAAGCCGAATCCCCTTGAGCGTCCGGTGGCGCCGTCACGCATTACAGTGCATTCTTGAACTTCTCCGAACTGGGAAAAGTAGTCTTTGAGTGATTCTAGCATGTGGAACATCCGTAGTTAGATTGTTAAATATCCTGCTTCTTCCGGAATGGATTTTGGGTACATACGGTCAGTTGTCTCCCAGTTCAACCCCCCGATAAACATTTTGCTATATAGATAAACCTATTAGTCATAATGGCCCCAATAATAAACCAAAGTTGACAGAGATGCATGCTATAATAAAAATAACCAAAAAATAACTATGCACGCAAAAATGAAATATTTTAGTGCCGAAGTGTACGACCAATGCGTTGCTGAAACTCAGCATCAGAGCTGTGATATGATATCGAACATTGGAACTTCATGAACGCGGCTGCGATCGGTTAAGGGGGGTGGCGTGTTTAGTTTTCATTATCAATCGCTGATCCGACATGTCTCCTTCGCCGGAGTGTTGGTTGCAAGGGTTGAGCTAGCTGCGCACATTGGAAAAATTGACTGAGGAATGATTGCTCCTTTACAAACGGATCTTGGTTGACGGTTTGAATCTCTCAGGCACACGGCTCAATCAGGAGCATCGTCGGATATGCACGTATGCAGAGCTGAAGCCAGTTTTGGCCTGGAAAAGACGCAGTTGTAAAAATTTTTTGGGACGAGTGTACTTTCTTTCTTTTGTTTTCTGTCCGAAGATCCTCTCTGCCTTTCTAAAAGTCCGTAGCTAGGTAATGCTGTTCGATATCCCAGAATTCAAGACAGCTGAAGTGTCTATTTCCTGCTCTGTTCTATCAAGATATATCGACAAGAAGCTTTTAGTAGCAGCTGTACTATAGTCGCTTGAATAACTGGCTCGCTTGGCAAGAGCTTCGTCTAAGTCTCATCGACTCCAATTCCTTCTCACAACGTGGTGGGTGGTAATCCGAGACCCTTGTTCTGATCATTGTCTGGTTGCCGGGAACACTATGTAGGATCCCTCCTTCAAGATCTATCCATCCGCTTTCCCATACTTCCAAGTATCCACCATTCCTGTTCGAGTAGCTCAACCCCAGTAGCAAACCCAATCCCACACGCTTGCACAAAGCCTCCATCAATACCCGGTGTGATACCAAAGTTTCTCCTTGCACGGGGCAGCTTCAAATGTGGGCCAAGTATATGTATATAAATACGTGTGGATAGGGCCAGATCATGCTTCTTGTAGCGAATGTCCGAAATGCCAGTCGATGGCACTATAGAAATAAACCAGTGCGGCAGCGACGATCCAACCACAGCTCGGTATAAATACAATAGCCAAGACAAAATGATAATTCTCGTTTCCCCACGGTTTGCAGCATTGGTAACAGCCCGATGTTTCCGTACGTGAAAGTGGAGAAAAAGAACAATATAAAATATTCATCAGAATGCATGTAAGTACAACTTACCCATCTTCTTTAATACCGGTTCCATGACTCCCATGACTTCCTGACTCTACATGGCTTTGAATATGATCACTTTCCTGTGTCATCTGCGTCGGTTCATTAGCACCATTTCGTTGGTCGCCATTCATCAAATGCTGCTGCTCCGACTGAATTTCTATATGATGGCTTTGGTTATTGTCGCTAGTTGGTTGCTGTGCCGTGGACGTGTTCGTTTCAGTTTGCGGTGGCGGCTGGGGTTCTGGAAAACTTGGCGTAGCAGCTGGGGGAGCTGCGCGCTGCGCGCTGTCATCTGCATCGTAACTGTTTCAACGAGCTTTAGTACAGGCAATTTATAATTCCTGGGCAGTTGGGAAAGCTAGATGCTTTCCGTGAGGTGGAAGAAGCTTACAGATCAGCAAAGAGATCTTCCTCGAGATCTTCTGGTTCAGTCATGATGATGCTGTCGCGAAGTTTCAAGCGTCAAATATATTGAATAAGTTGGATAATCCTCGTATATAAAGTACCCAAGCTTCAGCTACAGTTAGCTTGGAGATGATAGCAGGCGAGGTGGACGCTGTGTTGATATTGAGAGAATTTAAACGGGCTCAAGAGCAAGGAGGAGGTGTGGTTGGAAGACGCGCCGCTTGGCAGGCTAATCCTAATTTGGACATATGGTCTAAACTGAGGTGCTTCTGCGTACGGTATTGTCACGTCTGTTGCAACCAACCTTGCCACAGGTGGAAGGTTCCAGCGCCTCACTAAGAGTCACCATACCACCCTAAATTGAAAGCTTTTCACATCTCAATTTGGCGGTAAGTTAAGGTCAATTTAATAATTTTAATACAAAGCTTCAAACTTATGCCAAGCACTGTCTTTGTCCTTGATATGGCTTATTGGGTTCCATTTGAAGCAATATGATGTGGTGGAGAACGTGACAATACGGTACTAGGGTTCTCACCGTATAAATTCCACCCAGCAGCCCTTCCGCCAGCTATGGCTCTGCTCTATTGACACCTTGACGGCATCGCTAGATATCGTCTACTATTATTCTTCCCCTCTCACTGGGGATTACGAGCATTATCTCCTCATTGCTCCGTAATTCTGCCTCTATATTCCAAGGGTATTCAGATATGGCGAACAAGAAGGCCCCGCAGCAGGTATGGCTCTCCATAAACATGGTGTCTTGGATCCCATGCTGATTCCAATTGATGCGCTGAGCAGGAGATGGTCCAGGTCGGTCCGTACTAAATGTCACCCTTTGGAAGGAATCATAATGCCCAACTGCAAAGATATCGTACTATCCGAAATATTAATCTTTCCTGACTGTTCTGCTAACATTCTGCCTTGTTGCTTGCTTGCTAGACCAAACCGAGTGGGTGTTTCTCCCCCAGATTTCACTGATTCATTTGCTAACAAGCTTGAACGAAGACGGATAGCATCGCCTTTCTGGAAAACCCGATCATCGTCGCAGCAACAGCAAAAACTCCATGGAGTAATTGACCCAAATACAGTCATCGGAGCATCTTACTCCCATGCGGACATGGTGAGGTGAGTTCAAGGCTTTCCCCGCAACTGAGGTTCCTGATATTGATATCTGACTGCGGTTGCGCCCCTAGGACCACATCGCCTTACACGCGACAGCACGTATCACCAATGTCACCACGTACAAGTAGCAATAACCGGAGTAGTAGTTCTACCCACTTGACAGAACCAGGTGGAATCGCACCTCCAAATCGTCAACCGTATGCGAGCTTAATGGCACAACCCGGAGAAGATTGGAGCCATGATGACGATGGATACGAAGATGAGCTTTTCTATGATGATGATGAGGACGAGTTTGGGCTTCCCAGCGTTACGAGCATGCGAAAAAAAGGAGCGTCTCGATATAAACTCCAGACAGCAGGGGGTGATGCGCGAGGGGGTTCAAAGAGCCGTATAAATGGCTCATCAACGCTAAACCCCAATCTACCCTCAGCCAGACTACGCACGAATAGTTCTGATATTGCAGAGGAAAGGGGTATACTCAGTTACCCAACGGCAAAAAAGACGGATGGCAAGATTTTGCGTCCACAATACAAGGAACTATTGACTGGTAACTTTCAAATCCTTATTGGCGATGATGGTAAATAACAACTAACAAGTTCTGCGTTAAGATCCTGCAAATTCGCTCCACTTGATTAACCACTCTCCTCCTCCGCCTAACGGAACCCCTAAAGAGCTAGAGGTTCACTCAAGCCGTATAAGCAGAATCAACAAGTTCAAGCGCATTCTCCAATCAAGTACTGTATCTCTTCCAGAGCTTCGCGACCTCGCCTGGTCTGGCGTTCCCGATGAGGTTCGAGCGATGACTTGGCAGCTTCTGTTAGGATATTTGCCAACGAATAGTGAGCGTCGCGTAGTCGCCCTCGAGAGAAAGCGAAAAGAGTATCTTGATGGTGTTCGACAGGCTTTTGAGAGGGGAAACTCAACCGTGGATAAACCCAGCGGTGCGGTCTCCACATCTAATGGTGGGACTGGAAGAGGCTTGGATGAAGCTATCTGGCATCAAATCAGTATTGATATTCCTCGTACAAACCCTCATATCCCATTATATGGGTACGAGGCAACGCAAAGGTCACTTGAAAGGATCTTATACGTGTGGGCTATTCGGCATCCGGCGAGTGGATACGTACAGGGGATCAACGATCTAGTCACGCCATTCTGGCAGGTCTTTCTAGGGACATATATTACGGATCTTAATATAGAGGAGGGGATGGATCCCGGACAATTACCAAAAACTGTTCTTGATGCCGTTGAAGCCGATTCATTCTGGTGTCTAACGAAACTTCTCGATGGTATTCAAGACAACTATATATATGCTCAACCAGGTATACACAGGCAAGTTGGAGCACTTCGCGATCTCACGATGCGAATTGACTCCACGCTAGCAAAGCATCTCGAACAGGAGGGTGTTGAATTCATGCAGTTCAGCTTCCGCTGGATGAACTGTCTTTTGATGAGGGAGGTCAGCATCCAGAACACTATAAGGATGTGGGATACATATATGGTATATATAGCTCCTCTTTTCCCTTCAAAATCTTCGCACGGCTAACATCGAACCCAGGCCGAGGAACAAGGTTTCTCCCGATTTCATCTTTACGTGTGTGCAGCATTCCTTGTCAAGTGGTCAGACCAGCTCCTTAAAATGGACTTTCAGGTTCGTTTCCCCTTGGTACACCGGGAATGGGAAATTTAAAACCATCAGCTAAGCGTTTATCAGGAAATCATGATGTTCCTCCAAGCTCTTCCCACCAAAGATTGGACCGAGAAGGATATTGAGCTTTTGTTGAGTGAGGCGTTCATATGGCAGAGCTTGTTTCAAGATTCGAGTGCCCATCTCCGAACCAGCACTGGAACGCCCTCAGGCCCGGGTTGACCGGTTCGATCTGTACCAGCATTTGCCGCGGGCCATAAGTTGACATGGTGTTCATATACATCGATTTTTTGAGCCCTTGGGTTTGAGTTTCCTGTCTTCGAGAGATCAACTGAAATGTATACCCTTCTGATTAAAGGCCCACAAGAGTTTGAGGAACTCGCCTTCATCACACATTCGTGCGCGTTTGTCTGCAAGACCCGTTTCGACCTCAAGAACCTGTCTGACTTTCTCCCGGACGAGTTCCCGTACTTTTCCTTTCTTTTTGCGGCCTGGATTCTCCTTCGATGGATTCGAATTAAGTTTTGGCTTGTCGTCCGCAAAGAACTCCGGTACATCTCCGTCATCGTCGACGTCCATAGCGCCATCTAGTTCTTCCTCCAGCTCTCCTTGCTCCTCCATTGTGTCCATCAGTTCATCCTGGAGTCCCTCTACAGGGCCATCTTCGACTGGAATGTTATTCTGGGCACACCATGTTCGGTAATTCGACTCCAGCATATCAAGGACACTAGTGGTACCAAGAAAGCTGGATCTCATCGTCTTGTTTTTCCGCACAAAGGCAACTCTCAAAAGGCCATCCCATTCATCATAACTGATTTGTGGGCGCGGGTTCTTGGGAACAATGCGGACCACGCTCGATTCTACGGCGGGAGGCGGCTTGAAGTTATTCTTCCCGACTTTCATGATGTGGTCGATTCTTGCCCACATTTGAGCATTCACAGACAAACGGCTGTAGAGCTTATCGCCAGGTTTGGCGAAAAGGCGCATTGCGAATTCTCGTTGGAACATGAGAATGCATACTCGTGGTGCCGGATTGATAGCGAGGAGTTTAAAGGTTAGGGGAGAAGATATCTATATATATAGTTACATTATTATTAATCTCTTCTGTTCAAAAGGCTTATAATATGTATCAACCAAGATAAACTTTACCTGGTAAGGAGTGTTGCTGATGCAGACATCAAAATACGGAAGATCCGTTTTGATCACGTCACCTAGTAGAACTTCAAGTCGCTTTTGTTCTGGCTTCCCTTGCACTCGCTTCGTGACTTCGGCAGCCATTCGCGGGTCCAACTCGACAGCAATGACCTTCTTCGCCTTTTCTAGTATTTTGACAGTCAAGTTACCTGTCCCAGGACCAATCTCAAGGACGGTCTTAAAAAAACACTTAGTAAACGACATTTGAAATGTACAAATATATATATATGGTGTCGGATAGCGTATACATCACTTTGTTTTAGATCCGCTTTGTCCACAATAGCCTGAGCAACACCTGGATTTTTTAGAATGTGCTGGCCAATGTCTGTATTCATGCGAAATACATTGTTTGCGGCCTTGGTTTTGGCAGCAGCTTGGGCATACGGGCTGGCCTGGGAAGCGTTATTGCGCTTTTTCGACGGGGCTTTCGGCATTTTTGCTCTGCTCAGCTGTCGGCCACAAATAGTCGGAGTAGTGGGAATAGTAATTCGTGGACGCACAATTCCACGCTTTCGCATCTTCGAGTCGAGTCGTGGGATGGATTGTAATTTTAGGTGTTTTTGACCCTATCCGGATTTATGTTGTTGCGGGCTCCGAGATAGCTTGGGCCTCCCTGACTCTTCATAGATGCAGATGCAGCAACAAACTCCATCGGGGCTCAGCTATCTCCTCTGCGTTCTAGCTTAAGATAGTGCATTCTTTTCATACAATATGACAGGTCGGAAAGACTTTCTCAGTCAGCCTGCGCCGGAAAATTATGTGGCCGGTTTAGGACGAGGTGCCACCGGCTTCACCACTCGTTCGGACTTGGGTCCAGCCAGAGAGGGTCCCACCCCGGAACAGATACAGGAAGCCCTCACGAAGCGTGCACTTCTCCTTGGTGCAGCTCCTCCAACTGCATATGGCGCGTCAAATAGAGGCGAAAAGGGAAAGGGAGACAGGGCCGATAAGCAAATAGAAGAAGAAGAGGACGACCGATTTCAAGACCCCGAGAATGAGGTCGGCCTTTTTGCATACGGGCAGTACGACAGGGATGACGACGAGGCGGATCGGATATATCAAGAGGTAGATGAGAAGATGGATAGGAGGCGGAGATTAAGAAGGTTTGTCTCTCCGCCTTTTTTTTTTTTTTTTTTTTTTTTGTACAAACATATCTCCCCACCCCTATCATTTTGAAAACTGTGGGTTTATCGTGTCTCCATGAAGCGTTTTGGATAGATTGCCGACATGAAAAACCTTTCTCTATCTTAGGGAAGCTCGAGAACAACAAGAGCGCGAAGAATACGAACGAAACAACCCGAAGATCCAGCAGCAATTTGCGGACCTCAAACGCTCCTTAGCTACAGTAACCGATGAAGATTGGGCAAATATCCCAGAGGTTGGTGACCTCACGGGAAAGAACCGAAGGGCCAAACAAAACTTGAGAAATCGATTCTACGCCGTCCCAGATAGTGTTATTGCCAGCGCAAGAGATTCTACTGAATTTAACACCACAATCGCGGAAGACGGCACGGAGACCGTAGTGCCGCGTGGGGAAACGGATGGCACAATTACAAACTTTGCAGATATTGGCGCCGCGAGAGATAAAGTCCTTCAGGTTAGACTTGATCAGGCTGCTCAAGGATCGACAGGTGACGCGGCAGCTGGAAGTGCAACTAACATCGATCCAAAGGGCTATTTGACCAGCTTAACCAAGTCTGAACTAAAGGCCGGGGAAGTGGAAATTGGGGACATTAAGCGAGTCCGGGTGTTGCTAGAATCAGTCACGAAAACAAACCCTAAGTATGCCCCAGGATGGATAGCTATCGCTCGTTTGGAAGAGATCGCAGGCCGGATAGTTGCTGCAAGGAGCTATATTGCTAAAGGATGCGAACTATGCCCAAAAAGCGAAGATGCGTGGCTGGAAAATATACGGCTCAATGACAATCATAATGCAAAGATTATTGCTGCCAACGCGATTAAAAATAACGACACCTCGACTAGACTCTGGATTGAGGCCATGAGGCTAGAATCAGACCCCCGGGCTAAAAAGAATGTTCTAAGACAAGCTATTCTCCACATTCCGCAATCTGTTGCCATTTGGAAGGAAGCGGTTAATCTTGAAGAGGACCCCGCAGATGCACGCCTTCTTCTCGCCAAAGCAACCGAAATGATTCCCCTTTCAGTAGAGCTATGGCTGGCCTTGGCTCGTCTTGAAACCCCAGAGAATGCGCAAAAGGTCCTAAACGCTGCGCGGAAGGCGGTCCCAACTAGCCACGAAGTATGGATTGCGGCTGCTCGACTCCAAGAACAAATGGGGACTGCTGGTAGGGTCAACGTGATGAAACGGGCTGTCCAAGAATTAGCGAGGGAATCTGCCATGTTAAAACGAGAAGAGTGGATCGCAGAAGCGGAAAAATGTGAGGAGGAAGGAGCAGTTCTTACTTGCGCTGCTATTATTCGGGAAACCCTGGGTTGGGGCTTGGATGAAGACGATGATCGAAAAGATATCTGGATGGAAGACGCTCGAGGAAGCATTGCTAGGGGCAAGTACGAAACCGCGAGAGCAATATATGCTTACGCGTTGCGAGTATTTGTCAATAAGAAAAATATCTGGCTTGCTGCAGCGGACTTGGAACGTAATCATGGTACCAAAGAAAGCCTATGGCAGCTATTGGACAAGGCCGTGGAAGCCTGCCCGCAAAGTGAGAGCTTGTGGATGCAGCTTGCGAAAGAAAAATGGCAAGCTGGAGAAATTGACAATGCTAGAAGGGTTCTTGGAAGGGCATTCAATCAAAATCCAGATAACGAAGACATTTGGCTTGCGGCCGTCAAGCTAGAAGCGGATGCGAATCAGACTGAACATGCAAGGGAACTCCTCTCGACGGCACGTCGCGAAGCCGGGACCGATCGTGTCTGGATCAAGAGTGTTGCATTTGAGCGCCAGTTAGGGAACAGGGAACAGGCTCTCGACCTTGTTAATCAAGGGCTTCAACTTTACCCTAAAGCGGATAAGTTGTGGATGATGAAAGGTCAAATATATGAGGAACAAAATAAATACCCTCAAGCCAGAGAAGCATATGGAACCGGAACCAGAGCGTGCCCTAAATCCGTACCCCTGTGGCTCCTTGCATCTCGCCTCGAAGAAAAAGCAGGAGTAGTCGTCAAGGCACGATCCATCCTTGATCGAGCGCGCCTCGCAGTGCCCAAGAATGCAGAGCTCTGGACTGAAACCGTACGTGTTGAACGGCGTGCAAACAACATAAACCAGGCCAAAGTGCTCATGGCGAAGGCCCTACAGGAAGTCCCTAATTCAGGTCTTCTATGGAGCGAGAGTATCTGGCACCTGGAACCGCGAACACACCGGAAGCCGCGAAGTCTAGAAGCTATCAAGAAGGTGGATAACGATCCCATCTTATTTGTGACAGTAGCGCGCATCTTTTGGGGTGAGCGAAGACTCGACAAAGCCATGACGTGGTTTGAGAAGGCGATTGTCTCAAATAGCGATTTGGGAGATGTGTGGGCGTGGTACTATAAGTTCTTATTGCAGCATGGTACTGATGTACGCAGATGGCTCCTTCATTCTACCTTTCCCAGCTTTTATGAGAGATAACTGATATATCATCTTCTACCCAACAGGAAAAGAGAGAAGACGTCATCAGCAAATGCATATCCAACGAGCCGAAGCATGGCGAGGTTTGGCAATTCATTGCGAAAGATCCAGCCAACGCGCATAAGTCAACAGAGGAAATTCTAAAACTCACGGCGGCGCGTTTGGAATAGAAGAAAGTTTGTTTTTGAATGTTGAATGCACATCCCGATTTCGTTTCACATTTCAAGCTGTATTGATACAGATTATTTTGTTTGTTATCCCTCAAATTTCCGGATTGATAGGCGGTTACGGTGTTCTTGGCTAGGAAACTCTTCGAACATGGGAATATGGCGAAATGACTTACAATCAAACTTTATATGTAACCTTTCCATTGGCAACAAAGTCCATTTATCTTAACAGCTACACTGAAGTTAACGGGTTCATATATTATGATAATGTTATGAGGATATCTGCTCTGTTCATTTATAAATACACCACCAGTAACGCATTCATCAGGAATTGCAACCCGTATGAACCTGGACAACAGAATACGTAACGATGATATCTGGATCTGATAGCACGGGCCCAACGATTGGCACAATGACAAGAACAATGGCTGTAAATATTCAGAGACAAACGGGTTGCCCTTTTCCAGCAGAGACACTATTAGCTGAAACCCACTCCTCCCAGAATAGTAAAGCATAATTCCCAAGTTAATCAATTTTTGTGAGAAAGTAGCCCACACAAGCGCGCGCCGGAAGTATAAGTATATAGATACAGGAAGGAAAAACAATAGGAAGAAGCAAAAAAAGAAGAAAATAGAAACCCTTAAATCACCCATGCACCGGGCCCCGCCACAAAGCATGAAAATCACGAGGTATCCCAAAGTAATGAATAATGAATCCCACCTCATTCAGAGTCGGTGGTCATTATGGTTTATATATAGGGGGTAATAGAAAACAAACAAAAAAACACACAAGGCAAAGGGGTAAATAAACATAGTAAACAATAAAAATGGTGGCAGAGCAAGTAATAAAGGAAGACCAAAAAGAAAAAGGTCCCAAACGCCTTAGCCACCGACTCACTCACTCCAATGGTATATACATGACCAACATTCCTAGATACGAGGAATGAAATGAAAATGGACGTGAAAAGTAGTACAAATGGGCAGACGCCTCACGCTGCCATCGAAAGGCAATCATCAAGAAGGCTTCCTAGCTGGGCTTGATCCTTGGGAGTTGCGCCATCCCACTCCCAACCGGATTCGTCAATATCCATATCATCGGAGTACCCATCGACCCCGTTTAGGTGGTTGGCTTCGTTTAAGCTCTCCATGTAGTCTTGTCGTTCAGCTTCAAGCTCTTCCTCGACGTATCCGCCCAATATCTCATCGACGACCAGGGGCATATGTCCTAGCAGGCCGCCGCCAAGTTCCAGGGCCAATCTCAAGTCCGGCACACCAAGTGCTTGTCTTGTGTTTGCTTCCTTGGCCTCGACGGGGAGGAAGCCACTTGTCGTGTTCTTTACTAACTCTCCTCGGGTGAATGCCATTTCTTCGCGTTCAAGCTGCCGTCGGTACTTTCGCGTCATGGTTCCATTGATGGTCCCCGAGGGTCCATTCAGTCTTGTTCTCGCGAACACAGTAGACAGGAATTCCTTTACAAAATTTTCGGTTGCGATGGACATGAACACCGCGCATGGAAATGAAGCTCCGTTGACCACCGACTCCTCGTAGCATATTGGGACCATGCGCGCATATATCGAATCTGCATCGGGAAATTCCCCGATTTCCGAGGCTAGGGGTTGAGCGTAACGTTTTCGAATTTCAAGTTCCCAGTCTAGAGTAAAAAAATTAGGTTTTTATATTCACAAACTCCGCCATAGCCATGTACTGATATACACCTACTTGTTTTGTTCAGCCCTCCAGCACTGGCAGGTACTTGATCGGGGAGCCGGATCTGTTTGGCCTGGTGATACTCCTCGAGTGGATTGGGTATAGAATGGGGGTCCGGCTATTTAAAAAAGAAAAAATATATATCCTGGTCAGAACACCACCGTCTTTATACCCACCAAAAAAGTGACACTTTTAGATAGACATAGACACACATACCTCAGGAAGCGCCTTTAATCTTCGTCTATCTTTTGGTGGCAATTGTTTAACCTCCGTTTTAAGTCTCTGCTCCGCCGCATCGCCGGATATAGGCTTTGATACTACCGTCGGTTTATCATGCGCAGAAACCCAGCCTGCAATGCCATGGTCCGGAAGGTCTCTCGTAAGGTTGCCAATGATTGCGCATACGAAGTTGTTATGTAGGTGCTCGATTTTAGGGTCAGAGGAGAGGAAATGGTCGACTCGCGATGCGAATTCATGCTGGTTCAGATGGCCTGTTACATCCCCGCACAAAACAAAAATAGGGAATTACAACGTTAGAAAAAAACTCTCGTCAATATTAGCTTAACAAGGAAATGGGAAGTTATAAATCAACGTACCTAGAAGAAAGAGAGCGATAGCCTCCTTGTACTCTGTCCAGTGAATGCCGATGGCCGCCTTTAACTCCGTATATATCGGCTCAAGGTCAAGTCGCGGAACAGAAATAAGAGCCTTGGATGTTTTCTGGGTCGTTACCGGAGGCAGAACAACAGGCTGCTTGGTCACCGGGATAGTAGACGATGAAGTTGCCCCAGTCAGCGCGGCCGGGTCGATCTGCATTGTGCTTCAAGGACAGAAGGGAACCAGCGGCGCGAGGGGCTGCGCGAAGCCAGAGGAAGATGTAGATTACGCCCTCATGCAAAAGGAATGGACGGCTTTATACCAGATGGCGATGGGAAAGGGGAAGAGAGGTCATTTAGAGATGGAATATAAGGGGAATGCTCGATACGCGATGGACGAGGTCGTTGGTTCCCCGCAGGGAGTGAGGTTGAGATGGAGCGGTGGTGATTAGAGAGTGCGTGGGTTTAAGTTTGGGGAGCCGGCGGATGGTTGAAACCAACAACTTACGAAAGGCTCTGCATAAGCAGTAAGTTATCTACGCTGGGTAATAATATTTATGGCTTTTGGATATCTGTGTTCGTTTGAATACGCCTATAAATATACTTGGGGAATTATTTTTACAAGAAGTAAAATCATATTGCATGGATAGAATAAACGCCCCCTGTCCTAATCCAGCTTCAGTATATCCTCATCCAATATCCCAAACAGTTTGCTTAATTCGCCAATAATCGTCATTATTTCGTTTCCTAACTGTCCCGTAACTAGAACTATAGAGGGTTCATAATTGTTACTAGGTTAGCAGCTTATATGGAGACTGCGCTCGAAGCACAAAAATGTGCTGGTAAAACGTACCATATGCATAGAGTAAAGCGTAGTCTTCATTAGTTGTCAACCTAGAGACCGTGGTATCTTGACGGAACCGGTGCAATCGCGCAAGGAGCCTGTCTCGCGAATGCTCTATTTCCGGTAGAGAGTCATTCAGAGGGTACTCGAGTTTCATGGAGGATGCGACCACTACGCCGCGCATTAGCCCCAGGTTGGAAATGAAAGGGGGGACAAAATGACAACAAAAAGTACAACATACCGGACAATAAATGACTTATTCGCGCAGAGAGCTGCATTCTCTGCGGTAGGGTATATGCGAGCATAGCCGCCTCGCCTTCCGAAGCTGTTAAGTTTTTCATAATCTCGAGATTCATGGCTTGGATGGCATCTAACATCCGTCGAGTTCGACTAAGGAGCGCTATATACGTAGCATCGGGAAAAGGGCCGCGTAATTCGAACTCTGACCGCGCCGAAGTATATAGTGTTTCTAGGCGGACCAGGAATCTCTGGAGCTCTAATTTCTCCCTAGGGGTGAAATATGCAATGGCGGACTTTCCATCAGTCATCGTCGACAGAGGTTCTCGTTTCCATATCACACTCATCCAGAGCCACAACAAACTTAGTCCATCCTTTAGCTTTCTCCGCGCGCTGATAGGCCAGATCAGCCGGGTGATAATGATCCCCCAGATAATTCCAGACAAGACAGATACGACACGATGGACAGCAATGTTAAGTACTATTGGCGTTGCTCCGCCCTCATCTTCGCCATTATCAACATCGTCTCTTGAGAGAGAGTAGGCATATAGAACAGTGAGGTTGTAAGTGAGCACAATGAAACGCCCCATCGGGCCCTGGCTTTTAACCAGAATAAGGTAGGCGGTGCCGAACGCCATGACCCAGCCGATGAATGCAAGAGCAAAAACGTTCCCGTTAGTAATTTTCCAAGCTATATACGCGCATATCGCTCCAAAAGTCGTTCCAAAAAACCTGGCAAATCCCGTTGTATTGGATGCGCCAATTGTCATAGAGCAAACAAGCATATAGGATAGCAAACCCCACTCCCCGCGCCAGTAAGAATAGAAAGGTCGCGTCGATGGCAAGAAAGCGGGGAGAGCGTACAGGGCCGCCCCGGCACCCACTTTGATGGAAAATTTTGTTTCGTCTCGTCGGAAGATACGCAATGCTTTCCATACTCTGTATCTCAGCTTGTCCCTCGCTGACAGGTTATCTGGCGGTTGCAGCGTGTCGTCTTTTCCTGGGACAAGGAAACTTTCGGCTGGAACATTTGGTTCCCCACGCTCTGCCGCTGACCCTATGCAATGTTACTATTTTATGTTAAAGCATCCATATTTAAAAGAATGAACTTACTTGAAACAGCAGTCCACTTATTGATATGATCAGGAGGCGTAGGGCGCCAAAATCTGAGCCAACCCCAGGACCTGCCGTTGGGGCGTTCATCGGTTTCTAATTGAAGCTCATCAAGCACTTCTAGGATTTCTTTGAGTTGCTCAGCAAATGCTTGGAGGGAGAAACTGAAATGACCACAACTTGCCGCAACCTCTTCAAGGTCAGCTTCCGTCTCAAGGGACTTGACCTTGACAAAATCTTTCTGTAAATATACCATATTCAATGCATCATTTCGCGCACTGTGATATAAATCTAGGGCTCGATCTAAGCTGGTGCGAAATTTACAGTTAACAGCAACTTTATATTCTGGGCCAGGGGTGTACGGAAGTTCTCCAAGAATTTCTGTCACCGTATATGCTAATGCACGCTATGGGAAAGAAAGAAAAGCAAATTAGTACGTAGCTGGGAAATTTCACAGCTGTCTTCGAGAAAATGGCCGGACAGTACATACCATTGAAGGGCCAAGGTGAACAATGAACTTCTCGAAAATATCCGCCGGAGTCAGTGGAAGAGAATGGGAGTGATTTCCTGGGCTAGATCCCAAGAGGGTCTCACCTAGATCTGTCGTTGGCCTGCCGCCGTGTGCTAGATCTCGAACAGGGATTGAGTTACTTGGTTCCTCGTTAAGAGACAGTGCAGCCGGTGAGAAAATCGAAGGGTGTAACCCGGAGCTAAAATAGGATGAGTATACGCCTTCTTGAATCGGGGTAACATGGGAATGTTGCTCTGATTGCTTTAAAAGGTCAAATTGAAGGGTGGCAGCGCTCTGAAGTCCTCCGATATTCTGGGTGATGTCCTGAATACACCGAACAAGCTTTTTTTCAAGGCGATATTCCCTTTCCGTCCCCGCAAAGTAGTGTTCGAACTTAGCCTCCTTTAGCCACTTATCAACCGCAACGTATGCCTTTTTGTTCCGGCTGGAAGCATTTTTGAACGAGTCCTTCTCAAGATGCTCTGCGGACCCTTGCAGGAAGCTCTCCATGATGATCGCTAGCATAGTGCCCAGCGAACCAGTAATCTCAACTAAATCTTTGCGAAGC